ACAAATCTGCGGATTTTGTTTGCTATGCAGCATCCACCGGTGCGGACATTTACATATTTACAGAAACATGGTTGACGGAACGTGACATGGCACATAGAGCTGAACTTACTCTGCCTGGTTTCAAGCTGCTCGATCAACCGCGTCTTGGAAGGACTGGTGGTGGACTTGCACTCTTAATAAAGAGCGGCATAGATGCCAAGAAAATGGACGGTGGTGAGCGTAGATCTTTCGAATTTTTTGAATGGACTCTGCGTTATGGTTCAAATAGCTTGAGAATTGCTGTCATCTATCGTATACCATATTCTCAAGCCCATCCAGTCACCACTAGTGTTTTCTTTGATGAATTCATAACTTACCTCGAGTCGATCATCATGTCTCCTGAGCCGTTGCTGATAACGGGTGATTTCAATATTCATGTCGACGTACATACTGACTCTGATGCTTCTCGTTTTCAAGATTTACTATCGTCTATGGGCCTTCAACAGCACGTGGATAAATCTACACATATATCTGGGCACACCTTAGACTTAATGATTACTCGTTGCTCGGATTCATTTCTTACAGCCAAACCTATGACTGACTACTTGTTTTCAGACCATTTTACTGTTCTTTGCGATCTTGCCTTAAGTAAACCATCTCCCAAAAATGAGCAAATATCATATAGAAAACTGAAGGCAATCAAGATTGAGGATTTTAAACAAGATCTGTCTACCTCTGAGCTTTGTAATTACAGTCCAGATTCGCTTAACGATCTCGTTGAATGCTATAACGATACCTTGTCCCAAGTGCTCGAGAGACATGCTCCACTTCGATCCAAAGTTATACGATCTCGACCTCTGGTTCCTTGGTTCAATGAAGATATAAAAAATGCCCGCCGTGAAAAACGGAAAGCAGAAAGAAAATGGCGACGCTCTGGCAAACACGACGATATGTTGTCATACAAAAAGATCAAGAATACGACAAATCGATTAATGAACGAAGCTCGAAGCCAATACTATCATGACTTCATTAATGATAACAGTTCAAACCAAAAAAAGCTCTTTGCAGCTGCGAATACTCTTTTGAATCAAAGGAAAAAGAACACTGTGCTACCACCTTGCGATGATAAGCTTGAATTAGCTGATAGGATGGGCTCGTACTTTGTTCAAAAAATCACTGATATTGGTACAAGACTCGACGTTATGGCTCAAGATCTTTCCACTGACCCGCTTTTAAACTGTACATTGTCACCAACCCCCAAATTTAGTAAATTTACAGCACTTTCTGAACTCGAAGTACGGAAACTTATCGAAGGTAGCGCAAAGAAAAGCTGTTCTTTTGATCCGATGCCTACCTCACTGGTTTTTAGCTGCATTGATGTCCTGCTTCCCGTGATCACAAAAATGATAAATCTATCCCTCGTGGATGGTGTGTTTGCTGATGTCTGGAAATGTGCACTTGTTAAGCCGTTGCTCAAAAAAGCTGGTCTTGATCCACTTCTTAGTAACTACAGACCTGTTAGTAATTTGCCATACATATCGAAGCTCACCGAAAAGGCGGTGTATAATCAACTTCATTTACACATGATAGACAATTCTGTTTATCCAGAAATGCAATCATCTTACAGAAAAGGACATAGTACCGAAACAGCGCTTCTTCGGGTTGTTAACGATATCTTAATGAAGATGAATTCACAAGAGGTCACTCTTCTTGTCATGTTGGATCTTAGTGCCGCCTTCGACACTGTTAATCATGATATACTGATCAAACGTCTCCACGAAGAATTAGGTATTGCTGATTCTGCCCTGAGCTGGTTTGAGTCATATCTCCATAACAGGATGCAAAAAGTTGACATCGAGGGATCGATATCTAACCCATTCGATTTAGGCTGCGGTGTTCCTCAAGGGTCGTGTCTTGGACCGATTCTATTTATTATATATGCATCTAAGCTCTTTAAGATCATTGAACACGAGCTCCCTTGTGCTCATTGTTATGCTGATGACACCCAGTTATATCTGAGTTTTAAACCTAATACTACATCTCAAGACCAAGCCTTGCAAGCAATGGAGAACTGTATTGGAAAGATCAGGAAGTGGATGATTCATGATAGACTGTTAATTAATGATAGCAAGACTGAACTGATTTTAATAGGCTCAAAACAACAATTATCTAAACTACAGCCAATCAGTATCTCCGTTGGCAACTCGGTAATTAATAATAGCTCCGAGGTAAAAAATCTAGGCTGTTGGTTGGATGCTAACCTAAGCATGTCTAAGCATATTACAAATATTTGCAAATCTGCATTCTTTTATCTTCATAACATTAGAAGCATTAAGAAATATTTACACGAAGACAGTCTCCATACTTTAGTTCATGCGTTTATAACGAATAGATTAGATTATTGTAACAGTCTTTTGTATGGTGCCTCAAAGGAACTGATAGCTAAAGTACAACGTGTACAGAATGCAGCCGCAAGACTGCTATTGAACGTTGGAAGGTACTCGCATATTACTCCTATTCTATATGAGTTACACTGGCTTCCAATCCAGGCTCGCATTAAATTTAAAATTCTTCTACTTACTTTTAAAGCGCTTCATAATTTACTTCCGTCATATATTAACAGCCTCATATCTATTAAATCAAAATCTTCTTATTGTCTTCGATCTAATGACGGTCTTTACTTAGAGCCCCCTAAGGGTAAGATGCTGAAGACATTTGGTGATCGATCTTTTCAGGCAGCAGCACCATACTTATGGAACAGACTTCCTCATGAAATTAAAATGATTAAGTGTTTGGATAAATTTAAAAAAGCTATTAAAACATTTCTGTTTAATGAAGCTTTTTGTAATCATTAACTTAGATATATTACATTAAAATAATTTATTCTTATGTATTTTTAGCTACCATTACTATTGCAAATTTTTATTTAGATATATAAGGTTTTTAATTTTTATTCAGTGTAAAGCACTATTGATCTGTACATGTAAATAGGGCTATACAACTAATTAAAATTTATTTATTTATTTATTATTTATTTAAGAGCCAACTCACCAGCAAGGAAAATCCCGCGTCAGGTAATTTTTTTTTTATGTGTGAAGCAGACGGTCAGGCTCCCGTGAGGGCGGTGCAATACCTGCCGACCATAATGCCTACTCCAACCCATGGCTACAGTGCAAGGCCTTAGGGTTGGGACCGCAACAAACGAGGGACACCAGTCGCCAACTTCGCTGGGGAATCGAACCCCACCTCACCAAAAAATTACACACTCACTCCCAGAAATTAAACACACCCACACATACCTTATCTTAACAAATACTATATTTATGTCTAAATAATTACAATTACTTAAAGAGGGAACCTATCGGCAACGAAGGCAACAGCCAGTCCGATTAAGTCGTCTCTATCGCGAAGACCTCGGAATCTAGGGTCAGAAACCCACTGGTGATAGACATTGCGCTGGTCAGGTGGCAATCGATAGTTGAGTCCAATATCCCACATGATACTGATGTGATCACTTGACAAAGCGCTGAGCTCAGGGACTTCACAAAGAACGTTTGGGTTAACACTGTGAGCGTCCAGTTTAGGCCCAATTTTCGCGGTCTTAGCGGCTGCACCAGCACCTTTGGAACGAGTGTGCTGAGGTTTCTTCGAGATGCCACCAGAAGCAGGGGCCAGAGCATCCCTCCTTGCGCGTCTACGGGAAGTAGGTCTCGAATCACTGCCAGGGACGATCGGCTTGACATGAGCGGAACTGTCGTCATCGATTTCCTCAGTCATTTCAGACTCAACAATCTGGTCCCATGGTTGATCACTGTTGTTACTATTAACTAATTTATTGGTTCCTAAGTTATTGTTTTCTTTAACAGTATTATTATTGTCTTCTTTAGCAGTATTATTATTATCATTAACTAAATCTTTACTGGCTTTCGAGAATATATGTTGTGGCAAAACATGTTTACATTTTACAATCCTAAACTCGCGCGACTCACTATGGTTCCCAATTAGCAATTGTCACGCGAAGGGAAGTCATCTCTGACAGTCACCTGACTTCAGTTTTCAAGGGAGATAATTACATAAACCGCCTCGCTTTTTACTCAGGCTGCCAAAGGAAACGCCCGAGGTTTAAATTCGGCTGTGTTTTTCTTTTTTCCTTTTTTTTTTTTGCGTTCAGTCACAAAACGCAGTTCCACTACAGCGCATACGTAAATTGTAAGGGCATGCGTAGAATGAGCCCCAGAGCGCATGGTTTGAAGCAAGAAAGCAATGGCTATCTTCGTGGACTTGCTTGATGTACCCGAAAGAAATTCGATGGCTATTTCGCCCAGTGTATATACAAAGTCACACACCGTTTGCAGTAGAACCGCACTAAAACTTGTGGGGCGATTTGAGAACGGGTCGTTCCGCAAACTTTACGCGAGATCAATTTACGAGCGATCCTTTACGAGTGAACCTTTATCGCGAAATATCAAGCGAAACCCGCTATATCAAACGAGTCATGTCATATTACGTTTACATGTAAACACAACCGTGTATTTAGACGTTATCGAGAACCCAGTAGAATACCAGAAGCTACTCTGAAACGTGTCAGAAGAAAGGGCAGAAAACTGAAGGAATTTGTTTGTGAGCGTATTCGTCCAAGCATACCGAAGTCCTCGTGGCTACGTCGTTATGTGAAGGTTAAAAGAGTTACAAAGAAAATTGTGTAAGCTTAATACAAAGAGGGTAAGATGAAATAAATTTACAAAACATGATAAGAAGTATTTGTTGAATTGTTCAGTGAGGGTATATCGGAGGATAGTGAAATTGAAATATGGAGCAAGGTGGTATTTATCAATGTTTTCTTGTAATAGACCCTTGTGTCTTTATAAGAGTCAGACACACGCTTCAAACTGTTGTAAATTTCAACTGAGTTCAGATGTTGAGAAAAATCCTGGTCCTACTCCAATGTACATTGACCCTAGCAAAACAATAGTGGCACCATATAGCCAAGCTGATGAATTGATATTTGGACAAGAATTCAGAACAACAATGTGTTGCAATGAGTTTATGCTCTTTGATTTACAATAACAAAGAGGAATCAATCCTGCTAATGATCTCGTGTCAATAATGAGTATTGGAAATCAGTTGTACTCATGTTTGTCTCAGTTAACCAGACAATCATTTTTAATGCAGACAGAATTACCCACACTTTAAAATGTGTTAGAGACTGATTATGAACTTCAACACAGTGAGAGCTACACTGGCACTATTCATCAATAAACTACAATTAGAAGGACATCAGTACTGTACCTCCTTAGATAGAGCCTTTCAATCATTTGTATCTGAAAATTGCAACAATTTTGTCGATGCCTATGCAACCAGTAAGTTCAATGTGAGTTGTGCTGTGGCTGTCTATTCACTCTGCTACCCCATAATAAAATCATGGAGTTATTGGAATTCAAATCCCTTATCTTATGTTATTCAGTATGGCAAAAGATTATAAGAAAATTAATCTTTGAACAAATATTTACTGTAAGATGATTTGCCAGAAACTGTTGATGTTTGTGGAACTGAAGTAAGTTTAGATTCTAAAAGTGATTACAGTGAAGGAATATTATCTGATTCATTTGACAGCAAATCAATTCTTGAAAGCCTTGTAGAAAATAATAGTGAATGCACAGGGTTTTTGATGTGGTTTTCAGTTTTTTGTATGACATGTATTTTTAAACCCACGAAAAGGTCAAAATACGTGTATTCCCTCTTGGTATTTAATGAAAGTCAAATGCCTCTAATTTAATATACTAAAACTGTAAATAGCACTGCTTCTCTGGTTGTAGCCATCAGCGATATTCAATATTCGGAGATTTTCCTACTAAAAACAATATGAATTATTGAACATTATTATTGCCTCAATCTACTGATTTCTGACAACTCCCCTTGGGTGACTATTTGGCAACAAACTGTGACTCGGTACCTATAATAAATAAAAAATTCCCTTCTCCTTGCAGTTAAAGGCAAATACATTACCTACTCAGGGTTCGTAAAGGTCTTGAAAGTCCTTGAAGATGCTTGAATTTAAAATAATAAATTCAATGCCTTGACAGTACTTGAATTTGAGGACTAGGGGTTGATTTCTGCAATGCTTTTTCTTTAAGTGATTTTCAAGTTGAAAATTACAGTACTTACATGGAAAAGCTGAGAAATAATATTA